CAAGTTTGAGGGAAAAGCCCTCAACCTTCTCCTCCTGCTGCCTTTAACCTACAACTGTAAGGAACCAAAATTCAGATGTTGTTGGGTGCCACTTAGCATCACCTTCAGGAACTAATCCATTTATTCCATTTCACAGCCCCAGATCCTGCCTGTAAATTACCTGATCCCCGCTGTAAATAAACTTTTTAAATTATATTCCGAATTTGGTTATGTTTTCCCCTCAGTCTGTACTCTCTGGGTTCCCTAATTACAACATCGTCTAGTGATGGAATAAATTTCTTGGCTTTTCAATCCCATCAGTACATTTTCCAAAGAGGAAAACGATTGAGGTGGGGAGAGGTTTGGTCCATCCATAACGGACTGAGAAAGCTCTGTGGTGGCAGCGCTCCGAGGCTCGATGAGAAAAGCACTGATTTCCTCAAGGCTCATGATGTTGTGGGGCTGTTTTGATTGACCTTCATTACAACCACCGACTAGACTTACGTGCTTTATGTTGGGGTCAGCTGGTCTTCCATTCACGTCTCCAACTTGTCCAAAATGCTGCAGCTTGGCTCTTTGAGCATATTTCAATCTTATGCTCCTAGTCGGGCACTGAGATCCTCTGATCAGTTGCTTTTGGTTGTACTTAAAAACAAGTTGAAGCTCAGAGTTCAGGCTTTTGGTCGTAACCAAAAACATTTGGAACATTCTGCCCCCCAACATTAGACAGGCCTCTCCACTGTTTTCACTGACTTTTAACCCACTATGAGTTTTAGGATTTTATTGTTTTTTTTTTCCAATGTTCAGTCAGGTCATGTGAACGCTTTCTTTTTTTGCTGAGACATTTTCTCTTTCATCCAAAGGACTTCACTCTGAGTAGCCACAAACAAACTCAGTCCCACAAATGGCACACTCTCATAGTGTGTGTGTGTGGGTGGGGGGGGTGGGGGGGACAGTTTGCTGGTGTTAAGTGGTGATGTCAAACACTTGCAGTGGCTGTAAATGCAGCGAGGCAGGTGCAGAGTGTTAACCTGCCACAACACGTCCTCCTCCATCCAGCGTCCAAAACAATGCACTGAAAAAACTCCCTGAAGCAGAAACGATTTGACTTCTGTTTGGATAGTAACATTTTCACGAGTTTCGGACGAAGTAATGAGCGGACATTTGCACTCAAAAGAAGGATTCCAAGATGGCGTAGGCTTCAGCCAGCTCATGAAGAAAAAAGGTGGAGCACGTTCGTACGTCCTCACGAACGTGACATCAGGGACAACTCAAATTATTTGAGGGCAATGTCTGAAAGTAATCAATATATTCAAGTACTGAAAACATGAAAAAAGAAATTTGTTGAAACTACTTAGAAAAATAAAGGTGTACAATTTTATAACACGTTTTTAAGTACTTGTTTAAATTATCTAACATTTACTATTTTGTCTTACAGTGTATGAGTGAGAGAGTGAATGTTTTTTTTGTCTCTATGTGTCCTTGTGATGGACTGGAGAACTGTCCAGGGTGTCCCCGGCCTCTTGCACAGTGACACCAGTGACCCATAAAGGAAGAAGCGGGTAAAGAGGACGGATGGATGGATGGATGGACAGATGGATGGATGGACTGAAAGTTAGTGTGTGTTTGTCCCCACAATCCACCCCCCACACACACACACACACACACACACACACACACACACACACACACACACACACACACA